AGGAATATAAAGTGAGGAACACACCAGAATAATACGTCGGTAAAGGAACATGTTTCACTGTATGCTGCAATACAACTCGCTTTTGGAGACAAGTTCATTGGGTTCGGGGCTTCAATCAATCACCAGTGGTTTGGTTTATTTAGATTAATTAGGGATCGGTCGCTTTGATGTGGGACTGACTACACACTAGACACCTAACCTTAAAACACCTTGCAGTTGAGGCAGGGGGTGTGATCCTCAATCTGGTCCGGAACGCGGACGCGTGTAGTCAAAGCGGTGGAAACAGCCGTGCCCAACAACCATTGCCGAAGCCCAATTGTCCGTTGTGGGTGAGGACCCCAAGCCTTCCTCAGGCCCAAACCAAACGAATCTGGAACAAAGAGGCGATATGCAGCAGTCTGGGGTAGTGCCCAGCTAAAAAAGGGGAAGGAGAGCGGAAAACGGAGTATGCAGCGAAACAACACAGAAAATGAGTGGACACCAACAAAGAAATGATAGGGTACCGGAGTCGAATACAGAATATTAAATTACAAAACCTGTTGAAGTACATACCGGACAGGATTGTGTTCCACGGATCCTACTTTGAGGCTGGCTCCGTGTATTGGTAGTATTGGGTTAAGAAAGTGTACACAGATATCTGGTTAGCTTGTGCCACAGACGAGAACGGATAGGATTGAGTGAAAACAATTCGAGAAATATGTTACTTAGGGATATTAGGTCACATTACTTGTGAAAGTATGTACCGGACTGAATTGTGTTCCACCGATCGAGCTTCGAAGCCAAATCCGTGTACGGCTAATAATGGGCTGAGGAAATGTACACAACTAGCTGATAGCGTGTACCACAGACGAGAACGGATAGGATTAAGTGAAAACAATTCGAGAAAAAGTTCGAGTACGGAATATTAGGTCTTAATACTTGTAAAAGAAGTAAATCATACGAGAAAACTATTTCGAAGATTCTCAGACGAGGAACCAAGAAAACTGGAACCCAACAGGAAGTAACCTGGCAGGTCACTGTGGGGAGGGGCTGTATATCATTTTGATTCTTTAATAAATATTAGGTCTGTTAGTCCTGTCAGTGCTGTTTCATGTGTAGATTCAGATATTATGGATATTAATATATTTAGGTTGCGGGTTTCTGAATTAGAGCCTGAGTTGAGATTAGCTGGACAGCAGACAGAACTAGCCAAATGTGAAAAGACCGATTTGAACGGCACAACAACTCCTCGAGCTGAGACTGCACACAGTTGCTTTTCTCTGAATAAAGAATCCGTCCCGAAGCAAGGAATCTAGGTCCATGTAAACGTTGATTTGCCAAAAGTCGAACTGATACCGCTCTACGGCAATCCCAAACAACATTGCCAATTTATTCTCCAATACGAAAATTTTGTTGAATTCAAAACCGATGATGCAGGACAAAGGTTTCTGTTTTTGTTGTACTACTGTCGTGGGAAGACCAATGAAGCGATACAAGGGTGTGCAATGCTGGATCCGGAAGTGGGCTACCCAAGAGCTAAAAATATACTGAAGGAAGTGTTTGCGGGGTTCGTTATCACCCCTTACTACACAATGATGGAAGAGTCGAGCCGCGAAAAGTCAACGGCCAGGTCGTGATAACAAACGAACACTCTGCGGGGGCTACATCAAAATCCGTCTGCATTATCGAACGGGTGTCAAGTGGGCCGGTCCGCTTGAGAATAATACCAATACAAGTGGAGACTCCTCGTGGTAGGATCCAAGCCGTGGCGTTTCTGGGCAATGGATCGGATATCACCATCGTGAGAGAGAGCTTTGCGCGAGACCACGACTTGGGAGGGCAAAACACCTCACTTGTAATCAGCACGGTAAATGAGGCACGAGCAGTTCGAGCTTCCCAACTGAGTTTGAAGTTGGCTTACACATCGGGAGAAGATACGATAGAAGTGCACCATGCGTTTACTATCGCTGACCTACCATTGACAGCTTCCGAAGGTATCCGGTCGTTAGCGCGGCGTTGGCCTCACCTCCAAGATCTGCCGTTCGAGGATGTTCCGGACATCCGAGTGGACATATTGATCGGCTGTGATGTACCAGAGGCGCATTGGGTTCTGGACCGACGGACAGGAGACCGCAGAGGTCCGTATGCTAAGCGCATGATTTTTGGTTGGATACTCTGTGGACCGCTCAGTAATGATGGTAATTACGCAGCCTCGATCAACTACATCTCGCGGCTAGATAATCCCATAGGAGACGACCTGGAGTGACTTTACAACCACGAGTTCGGCGACATAGCAGACGACCGGATATCTATGTCGAGGAAGGACTGATAAGCTCTGGCTATCGTCACTGAAATGACACGATACAACGGAACCCAGTTTGAAGTGCCGTTACCCTGGCGAACGGAATTCAATCGATAGCCCGATACTCGAGAGATAGCCTCCCATGGGCTCAACTGTCTGAAGGGACGATTAAAAAGGAACATACACCTGAAGGAAGCCTATTGTAACGCCATGAAATGAAACCTAGATTTGGGATATATCAAACGGGCAGTGGGAGAAGCCGACAAGTAGCAACCATTTTGGTACCTTCCGCACCACCCATTTATATAAGACGGGATTTCTCTAAACGATCGTCTATTACATGGCCCAGATCGAACGACTCCGTTGATTGAGGTGCTGTGCCAATTTCGTCTGGAGTCAATTGCGGTAGCGGCTGATATACAGGAAATGTTCATGCAGTTTAAAGTCCCCGAAGGGCGAAGTGACGCTTCACGGTTGTGTTTGTGGCCGGAGGGAGACCCAGATGAACCTACCCAGGAATATCGGATGACGGTGCACCCGTTTGTCTGCGAAGACTCTGCTCAGTGTTTGTAGACGGTTTGCTAAGAGCAGACGGTAGGTTGACAAACTGTGAATCGGTTTTTGACGCTAAACACACTGTTGAATCTGTTTTACCGGTTCCTCCCAATGTTTCCATCCTGCATTGCCCTCGGTCGCTTATTCACCGCCTTTGTAGATTAAC